GCGCCCTGCGCGGCTCTCGGGCCCCGGCGCGCCCCGGAGGAACGCGGCCGCCGCTTCCCTGGGGGCGGCCGAGACTGCCCCGGTGGACGCCTCCCCCAAAAGAGGCCCCCCTACAGTGGCTCCCGAGTGTAGAGCTCGCCAGCCTCGGCTTCCTACATGGAAGATCCTCGGGGGCAAAAAACGAAAGGCGTTAGGCTGAGCTACTGAAGGGAGGAAAAAGCCTCTTTCCCCCTTGCTAAGCAACTTAATTTGGGGGTGGGGAGAAGCAGGCAATTAAAAAAAAAAAAAAGCAGGCACACGATTTATTTTTTTCTTCTATATCCTTAGTAACCGGATCTCCTCGAATTCTGTGCACGCGAAGACTAGAGGGAGGGGGCCGAGTAGACTTCACCCCGCGTGAGACGTCTGTAGGGTCTCTCAAAAAACCCCAAAACCAAATACGCAAAACCCCCAATGAAAAAACACAACACCTCCTCGCACCTCGGAGGTCTGGGGGGCCACCGGATGGAGCCTGGGTTTAAAAGAGAAAATGTTTACAAAGTAGAACAAGATGTTGGAAGGGTGGGGAGGAAAAAAAAAACGTATCCACGAGTTACATCCCCCTTTTTTTCCTTGCAGAACCCCGCCGATCTTCCTTTCCTTTTCTTCTGCCGAAAAAAAAAAAATCGTATTTCTTTTAATCCACAGAAAGGTCTGGCTAGGCTGCTTCAATCTTGCGTATCTGGGTGTTTTAGAGTCTCTGGTCTTTCCTCCTGCGCTCCCGGGGGCCCAGGTCCTCGGCGGGGACTTCCTCGGTGCTGGGGAAGCAGGGGCAGAAGATGCTGCGGCGGCGGCTGCGCCCCGGGGGGCTGTCAGCGCGGGGGAGGGCGGCGCGGCAGCGGGCTCTGGCGGGTCGCAAGCTCTCGCCCCCGAGGGCACAAACAGCAGGCTAGTGTGGGGGCCGCCGGTGCCCCTTCCCGTGGTCGCGGGTGGACGCCGAGGCTGCCCGCATGAGCTGCTGGTCCCGACCCGACTGTGGCGGCAGGAGGCCCGGGTGTCCTCTCGCTGCCTCTTCCTCCGAGACTCTCCTCGTCGCGCCCGGGAGCCTCCTCGTCCCCCGTCCGCCCTCTCCTGGCGCTCGAGTCCTTCTGCCGCCGCTGGGGGCTCGCCGCGCCGCACTCAGGGACTCCGGGGCCGAGCGCTCGGCGGCGTGGCGCC